CATGTGTTTGTTCATATATTATGTGGAGAATAAAATTATCTTCCTAAAACCTATTAGTACTATTTTTTTTTTGTAATCGGTTTTACTCACGGCAGTATTAAGTGATGTTTGATTAGATTCGGTTATCTATAACTCTAAATAGAGTTATAAATATATGTTTACTTGTAGCGACAAAAGAAGAGATAAAGGGTACTGCTAAGTGGATCGTGTTGTGCAGGAACGATATTAATCAACAAACGGGCCAAAATTGTAGTATAATATAATCTGTTTAGAAAAATATATTTTACGTTCAATGATTAGAAATGATTTTATGGATTTAGTGAATCAATCAATGCTTAAAATATTATTATTGTAATGTTTTTGGCAATAGTAGTATAGATACATCTGGGCACTTAATTGGCAATATTAATTTGAAAAGTTTGTAGATTAATCTGTTCTGCATAACACAGTTCAATTATAAACTGTAACGTTCTCTGCAACAAAACTAGCACTCTTAAACAACTTATCGCTGAAGTTAGCGTAATTGTTTTAACTCGCGAAGAGTTTTTGTGCACTGCAGTTCACTATTGCTGAGTCGACATTTCATTCGCAAACATGTAGTTCATTTGCAGTGCATTCAAAATGACCCAGTTCTATTTAGTTAGATTTAAAAGGTAGCCTAACTTTTACACTGCCAGTATTTTTAATGTGCCCCTCACGTTAGGCGTTTACATCTGTTTTTAAATGAGCTTTTTAAAACTTTGGTAATATATCTCGTTCCGACTTACTTATGCTGATCTTTTTGAAATTTAAATCACGTTTTACTACTTACTCAGAAAAATTAAATTCTAGTTCATGTTTTGTTTAAAAATTCAAAAAATTGGTCAAGAAGAATACAAAATTAGTTATGGTACAGGAAAATAAATACGTTGATGTTCTTTGAGCAGAGGTCTGGAACTCCGTTAACTTTACTGACTCGGTAAAAAGCAACAAAGAATTGCTTACAACGGTTTTCTGCTAGGCCGTGATATCATTTCGATCGAGCTGCCCCATGTGTGCTGAAACATGGTTCATCACACTGTTTATAATATTTTATTGGAATAGTCTGGAGAAGAAGCGAGTACTAAAGATATCCACATGTGTTTTAACAACATTGTTCCTGACTCTCTCAATTAATTTATTACCTGGGTGTATGTAAGGGTACAAAAGGCAAGAAGTAGCTAATGAAAAAAAAAACAGCCATATTGATCTAACTACTACAAGAACACAACTTTCTACTACAAGGACTTTTATATAACAGAATGTAAATGAAAGTAATGAACAGTGAATAAATTTTCTGCCTCACGCCCAACTGACAGTAGCAAAAGCAATTTTTTCACCCCACGCCCAATGGACGGTAGCGAAACCGCCAAGCCACATATTTTTACTAAGGTGTATAGTTTGTGATGTTAGGGCTTGTAGAGTTAAGGCGTTTAGAGTTAGAAGTTTGGCTCTATATGAAATCTGATAACTTTTGATAGTGCGAGCAGTATGGTCTCGTTTTGGCAACATTTACATGAAAATGTTTTTGGTGGGATCGCCCTCACTGGTTTGGATTAAGACCGTGTGTGAGGTGATTCAAGAAACCGTACTTATTAATATTTAATTTGAAAAAAATACCTCATTTGGTGTCTGGAATTTTATTAAGTTTACCAACCTCTAGTCCAACGGGCGAAACTTTAATAATACTATATTTATTTCCATGTCGTTCTACTACAGAGTATAAACCGTTAATTAAGAAAATTTATAAAACTATTTTATTAACTTGTTAAAATTTAATTTGTTAATTATATGCAGACTTAATTACGGTAAAATATAGTTTTAATTATTTAAGAAACTAGACTTAATTTAGTGCACAGAGAAAGTACTTTATGAGGATAAAGTGTTAGTCTTGCTGCAGCAGGAAATATTAGATAGCGAGCAATGTAAGTATAACGTAATAACATTTACTTGGACTTTGCTGGCACCTGTTCCGGTGGCTTTACCATTGACAGAAAGGAAAAAGAGGCGTGTCTAGCCTCTCCAGCTTCTTCAAGCTACTGAAGTGTCAGTCCGGTTTCTTAAGTCTTGGGGTACCACTCACCCTAGCTTGGTAATTCAATTCGATTTTCTTACCCCGATATACTATACTTGGTTGGTCAGAACTGAAACTAAATGGAAATGGAACACTAATATATCATCATCATCATCTTCCTATCCTTTTCCTAAATACATTTGGGGTTCATTATCCTTGATCACTCGACAACGTCACGAGAAAGGAAAATAATGATTACATAAATAAAACATAAAATACATTTTATAATACAAGTAAAACCACTATACCAATCTAATATTATATCTAATGAAATGTAATTCAAGTCTTCGTAGTTTACTCGTTTCTCTAAAGAAAAATAAATTTGACAAGAATTTAATTGTAACTGTTAAATTTGCTGTATAAAAGTTAATATTTGAATTTATGCTTTCGAATGCACCAAATATACAGCTATAGAAGTTCTATTTTTTTGTTGACGGGGAGGAAAATCCCTTCGGATCTAAGGCTCGTTGAGGTGCAGCAGCCAGGATCCCAACCAGAAAACCAATAATTGCCTAATTTAATACTACAGTGTTTCTCAAATAGCTCGGTTTTTCTTCTGCTGTTATGTAGAGAGCACTTCTCATTCTATAAGGTTCTCGCCTCAGGTGGTAGGTAAAACTAGAAATCCAATTATTGCGAGTGTCTAAATGTGCCAAAAGTATTAATTTTTACATAGAAAATAATAGATCGGTACAGCAAAGGGAAATGTACTCTGTTATATTAAAATTTGTAAGTATAATTAATTTGTTTTAATCGCTTTTGTACACGGGTGACGGTAGGCCAAGGCACGTTTACATTAATATTGTTTCAAAATGAGTACTATTAAGTAAAACCACAGTTTAGTTAATATATTATTAGGGGTTAACGTATGAAATTGCCGATTTAGACTGAAAAATTAAAATTTGTTTTTTTTTCTAAGATGTAACATGATGTATTTTATCAAGATATTTATCCTCATTATCCATACATTGCTGCCATCTAAACGGAAGTTTATTTATGCCTTTACGATAGAACTCTGGGGATCGAGATGCGATAAACTATGTGAAAGAATTTTGTGTGAAGATTTTTTTTTATCACGTAGAAAACTGTCTAAATAACGAAAAAGGGGTAGTCCGTTGGAGCAAGGTCTGGTGGTCAAGTACGGGCCCATTAGAAGGTTAGAAACCATACGTCATCCACGTATGGTTTCTAACTGCAGCTCCTGTAAAGTGACAACGGTTTCTCGTGCAGTATGAGGTCTATCATTGAGCAATAATGGTAAAGATCGCTTCACGAGTCGGAGCTGATTCACTGCCAGTTTCACCATCATTGGTCGAAGTTGAGCACAGTAAACTTCTGCTGTTATTGCTGGACCAGATCTGAGAAAGCTATAGGTAATAGCACCATGATGAGAGCACCAAACAGTTACCATTACAGTTGCGTCATTTGACCTGGGGTCATCCATTGCTTACGGTTATCGTAAACAAGCCACATTTCATCACATGTCACAACTCGATGCAATATTCCTTGATTTCTGTACCGATTCAATAAGGCAACACAAGTTTTAATACGCATTGCTTTGGGCAGATCAAATCATAAGGCACCATTTTTCATATTTTTTATCTTATTGATTTGATGCAAATGAGTCAATATTGTAGGTAGGGTAATGGTAAACTATGCCGCTAGTTAGCCTGGGTAGTTTGATATTCATTATTATACTACTGAATGTCAAACTACCACCATAATTAATTATTCATTATTCACCTGTATAGGCGGTCTTCGTACAGTTCGTTCTTCAAGTCGAAGTTTCCATTACGACAGCGTTTAAAGCAAAAACGCAAGGTGCGTTCATTAGCAGTCGTCTCTCCAAAGGCAGCGTTAATAATGGGAGCCGTTTCTGCCGCATTAGTTATGCGTCGGAACTCGTATTCAAAAATGACTTAATGACTAACACAAGAAATAATTTTACATTTCTTTAACCCAACGAAGGTCGCACTCTGTTACCTAAAAGAAAGATCCTTAAACACTAATCAAGGTAATAATAATAACATTATGGTGTAAATTACATACCCTTACCTGAGTAGAGCTTGTACTATGGGAACAACAAAAAGAGACATAATACGTTTGGTGATAAATGAACTATTATTTATTATTTAAAAATCTACAAATTTAATAAAAAATAAAAAATCTTAATACGGACGGATTAAGAATACGGAGTGTCACCACCCCTATTTATCCCGTGGGTGTCGTAAGAGCCGACTGAGGGAGCAAACTACGCAAGACAACAGCACTTCAAAAAGAAGGAAAACCTGCTTTATAAGGAGGCCTATGTTCAGCAGTGGACTATTAAAAGCTGTTGAATATACATGTAACCTCTCAGTAATATACTAATAAATACTGTAAATTTTATCTTAACAATCGGATCTACAAATTGATGATTTTTTGGCCATGGTCTATTTTACTTCAGCACCATGCAGTCCAAACACTCCAAAGGATCATCTATTTTTAGTTATATATCAAAAAATCAACTCTAAGAAAAAGTAGTTTGCTCACCAATTCCTTCAATGAAGTTGAACAAGATCTTATATATTTTTTCTTTTGAAGATACATTCACAGTATATTCACAATACAATAAGAGAACGTAAGAGTTATATCTAAAGTAGTTAATAAAAAATACGTGTCAAGAAAATAAAGTTTTCTATTTTGCACGTAATGTTTATTTATGTAGATATATTTTTATACTTTACTCTATATCTATCACAAGTGATTTATTGATATACACAAGTCTATTCTGCTTTATTTATTTGTGTCTACTGTTGGTAATAACGCAAACAAAACAAGAACATGCAATGATATAAATGAGGGTGTTTCTTCTATATGGAATGCATAACACAATCAGTAGTTTCCGTGACATCGACAGTATTCCACAATGCGAGGGTAAGCACAATCTTGCATTAATATCTACATGATTCTAAAGTGACAACAAGTTCTGCGCCATCTATCTAAAACAACCCTAACTACTTTATAGCTACCGATCCTCTATCTCGCAATGAAAGTTATTCTGTTTATTATTATACTCGTATATCAACATCCTTATATTATCTTTTTGGTTGTAGTCGGCAAGGTATAGTTATGCAAGACAGATGGAGGACGGATAAAGAACCGGGGCTGAAAAAATAATAAATTTAATGTTCAAGCACCTTTCAACCTCCTTTCTAAGCAGAGGCCTAAGTCCAGCAGTGGACTATTAAAGGCCATTGATGATGATGATATTAGCTGTCTATTACGAGCTAAAAGAATAAGAAAAAAATATGTTGAAATCATGGTTATATTACTCAAGTGTATATATGCCTTACAAGCATGAATTCAAATGAATGAATGAACTTATTATTAATAACCTAGTTTTTACGTTCTCAGAAACAAGTGTTCGCAATCAAATTTTTCAATCAGTTTTTATAGGATTGTATTTTATTTTTATAACTTTTTTCCAGGACCGAACAAAATCTGTTAATTTTTATTAGTTTAACTAGTACGTTGGCTGCAGCTGGACCCGCGCCGATTGAAGATGAAGATGATAATCTCCTTTTACCTGGATCAAGTTGTGAGGAATCGCCTCCTTGTCCAGATGGAAAAATATGCGAGATGATAGAACCGCCATGTTATACTAGGGTCTGTGACTCTGACTTAGTGCCTGCGTGTGTCTACACAGGTAAAAATCTGGATATTTATTAATAACTAGCTGGTACCCGCGACTTCATTCACATGGCATTTGGAAAGCTGTCTTAGTGAGTTCGAATTCCGGACCAGACAAAATTTTATAGGGTTTTCTGAGAGGAAAAATAACCAAGTTACTCCTTATATAGACAGCTACCTGGTAGTAAAATATTATCAAAATCGGTAAAGCCGTTTAGAAGATTACCCGGAACAAAGAGACAGAAAAAAAACTTTAAACTGTTTTTAGGCATAGGTATCTAACTAAATAACCGTGTGAGTATGAAAAAACCTATTATTTTTACTTTAAAAACAGACACTTCAATTTTATTTGTTTGTTTAGATTTTTACTTGACATGTGTTACTGTTAGCTCCATTTGCATTAACTTAAACTTTGTCAATTGATTCCAGAGCATTTTTTTAATAATCTTAATATCAATAAAACATTTACGGCCAAACACAAATAGGAAAACCATGCGGATCTGTAAAATGTCGTGTATATATTATTGATTTAAAACGAAACGAAACTGTTTTTAACATCAGAAATTAAGATATTTTTTTGGATTACGAACTTGGTAAAGGCACTATATTATACTCTTATCGGATTGCACCGCAGCGGCGTGCTATCTACATGAATTTGAGTACAGACATCAACGCACTCTTTACTTACAGTTGCTTTTAAATGTAGGCTGTCAGTATTCTACTGCATAATGTTGATTCCATGAATTCATAATCAGCACATCTGTTCTCTTAAACCTACAAGCCCAAAGACATTTTCACGGAGCGTGAAAAGATGTATCTCGAAGCCGTCAAATATAAGAACATCATCACGGAATTGTACGTATTTATAACGTGGGTCTTCAATCTTTGAATCTCAATCCAGGTTACGAGCAAACAATCATCAGACTGGTTGAGGTTTACATCATTAGCCTATAGTAGTCCACTGCTGGACATAGGCCTCTCCTCAGAAATAAGGTTTTGGCCTACTATACCATGCTGGCCAGACCGGTTAGTATCCCTATACTAACCGGTCTGGCCAGCATGTTGTTTATGTCTAGTATTCCTTCTATTTGCAGTGCTGTCGTCCAGCGTAGTTTGTTCTCTTAGTCGGCTCTTACAATACCCACTTGATGAATAGGGGTGGTGACACTACGCATCAATAATCCTTCACATTATGGGTAGAGGTTAAAAACAGTGATTTTTTTTTTTATGAAATGAAGGAAATGAAATTATATATCTGTCATATTCCAAAAGATACACAATAATGAACAACTGCTGTGAAGGTCAGATTACGTAGATAGCCTTTGTGTAATTCGACCTCCACGATCATCATTTAAATACATGTTTGTATTCATGATTTAACAATTAGGCAGCCTATTTTGACAACAATATTTACATATAAAAAGATTAAGGTCTCTCAGAGATGACCTTTTAAAATTACAATCGAAGCTCAGACGCAAATATCCCTTGCGCGATATTTCGTAGTTTTAATAAGTTCGATTTTGACCTTACGTCTAAAGGCTAAAAGAGCAGGAGGGTCACCTGATGGTAATCACTACCACTATCCATCCCGTAGGTGTCGTAGGAGCCGACTAAAGAAGAAAATTATTATTAAAATTCAAAACGGATCCACCTGTCAGTCGAGCGTGGTATAGTAGGCACAACCTCCATTGTAAGGAGAGGCCTATGTCCAACAGTGGACTATTCAAGGCTGTTGATGATTATAATTTTACTTAAGTTAATTAATTGCGTTCACCCATACTATTTCTAAATATATTTTCAGTCTTTGGACCAAAGCCAGTATCAGATGAAGAAGTGTACATTCGTTTGCCTGGCCAAAGTTGTGATGATGCTCCGCCCTGTCCAGACGACAGAACTTGTATAATGGAGGCACCAAAGTGTTATTCTAGACGATGTGAGAATGATCCTGTTCCTACATGTGCATATAAACACCCGTACTGAATAATAAAATAATCGTCGCCAAAAATCAGGTTTTTATTAGTTTGATTTAAACCCTAAGAAAGACCAGATTAGGTTCCTATTAAATTTATTTCCTTGACTTGTGATATGATAGAAATATTTAAAAATGTAATCAAAATAATTGAATGTTCCGAACAGACAAGTTTTTATTCAAAACGATAACAAGATGGTACTACTACTCGTAGTCCTTGACATGTTGATATACTTGACAAACTTTGAAAATTTGATAAAATATATAGAATAATTCATGATTGAGAATGAACCCCAAACACTACTTTAGAGGGAAATGATAAATCACATATGAAAACCCAATCTTCTACTGTCATGGAAAATTTGAAAACACAATTTTGAAAAGTGTTTTAGTTTGATCTCACTAGAGTAAATATTCAGGAAAGAAAAATAAGTGAATATTTATCATTTGGACTATGAATTATAATTTTCGAATAACGTTTCGAAAATCATTATTGGATCAGGATAATCAGAATGCTATCACAGTAACATTTTAAATTATTTCATTTCTTCATGTACGTAAAGTGACAACGGTGTAAACGTGCACTAACCTCGAAATTAGTGCTCTTATTGTGTTATCAGTTTAATTGAGTAAATACACGTAGTATGTTCTACAATTCTGTTATTCACTCTAGTTTGTAGATAAGGAAACACAGTTAAAGGTATAAATAGGAAGCATATTGTTATGCTTGTCATTGTTGTTATATACACTAGGCGGTTTCACAATCAACATTGGTAAGTTATAATTAAAAATCGTAATGAATACATTATTAAATATGTTGACATTTAAATGTGATTTTTTTATTTATATAAGACCACTTTGTTTTTACAGCCGTTTCTGGAACTAAAAATGAAGTCTTATTAACCAGTAATATCGTTAATAAAATTGTAATATTACATATATCTTGTGACGAAAATAACGTTCGGCAATAACATAGTAATGTCAAAAATCTATTCGTCACTTACCTTCACAAAACTGTCTCTAAAAATTAAATAATATAAAAGAAGAGGCTTTTTGTGAAAAATACGTTTTTTAGCATTGATGTAACAGAGATTTGATTAAGCCTGAGCGACATAAACACCCTTAATGGTAGTCGCATGAATGACACAATATAATAATAAATAAAAAAAAATTTTACCTCAAGAACAAGTACAATTAAATTTAGATACGCCATAGAACAAAAAACAAACTTGAAAACAGAGGTTGTTCTTAAAATTGACTATAAAATTTTCAAAAACCGACGACCAAAATTAAATTGTTAAAATTATATTTTAAGCGAAGTGTTTTTAAGATTTCTCTAGACATAAGTTTAAAATGTGTAGCTTGAAGTAGTTCCGATAAAAACGCATTAATTTAATAACACAATTTTATTGTTAGTGGAAAATAAGTATAACTGTTAGTTCCACAAAAAAAATCGATAAATTTACATATATTTTTAAATTATCATCATCATTATCATCTAACTATTTGAGTTATAATCTTTGTTGTAAACATCATTTGTTGATTAAACTTGTTTGACACTACGCAGAGTTCATGAACATATCCGTTCCATTATCAATATTGACATGAATTGAACTCAATATAAATAATGCTTAAGTAATTTTACTAAAACATAGAACTACTCGTTCTTCGTTCCAATACTTTTATCATAACAATATGCTTTTCCTTCCTCTGAGCCTTTTACCCAAACTAGTTTGGGGTCGGTTTTAAGTCTACTACGATACTACTGAAGATTGATCAGATAGAGAAATTACAGAATCCAGATTCTCTAATTATCAATGTTACCGTAACAAGATTTATAAATAGAAAACCTGGATTCTGTAATTTTACAAGGCGTTGTATCCTTATTAACGGGGTCATTCGTCTTAGTTCGCTGCGCTATCGCGACGCTTAATTTATTAACGGTCAAATAATATGTAATTCTGTTTCAATTCTCTGCACAACTGCAACAAATAAGTATTTTTTTAAACAAATTTTTCTCTAACTTATAATGTGACCACTGCCCACTACATCAAAACAAACTCAACAAAAATATAAAATTAAGTTTTCCTAGCTTGATTGTTGATTTGTCTATCAATTTAGGTATCCCTTCAGATATCTTCAACGTTCTTTTCATGTAAAATTTAATGAACAACAGTTTAGTGTTTCAATGTTTTGTTCTTGATAATAAATGATCGTAAGATGTTAAAAATTAGAGATTAGGTTTATTAGGTTGACTTTCGATCATCCTGAATTGTTTAATTTCATTGCCCAGTATATCTTGCAATGTCTTTATAGATTAAATGCTATACTGGACCTCTATAGCTATCTGCTACATTATATAAACAATCAGTATTCCGAATGCGATATATTAGTAAGTTACTATTTAAAACAAAAAAGTTTTTAATTGACCAACAGTAATGCTTTCGTTCAAATTTTAGTACTCTCTCTCTCTCTAGTACGAAAATTAAAATTCAAATCAATCAACGGAGCTTAGCGTTAAGTATTTATATTGATTTATAAAAAGCATTTGACACAGTAAGCCACCAAAATCTTTTACAGAAATATAACAACATAGGTATCACAGGCACAGCCTTTAGTATGTTTAAATCATATTTAGACAATAGGCAACAACTTGTTGTCTATTGTCTAAATATGATTGGTATGGTTGAACTAGATAACTTCACTAGTTCGACTCAAAATGTGACTTATGTCTGTCCTCAAGGCTATCAGCCCATTACTGTTCTTAATTTACTTAAAAAATATTAATAAAATAGGTCTAAAAGGATACCTAACATTATATGCGGACGACACATGTCTATTTTACTTTGGTAAATCTATCCAAAATATCATATCTGATGCTAAAATGACCCCAATATTCCTAACAATGTTAAAGTATAATCTCCTTACACATCAAAGACATCATTTTCGCAGCAAAAATAAACATATACCAGACTTTACACCACTTACAATAAATAATGACATAAATAAACGGTCTCATCACAAAAAATATCTTGGATTGTGGGTAGATGACAAACTTACCTGGAAACCACACATAGATCACGTAAGAACAAAGTTAATATCGATACTGGGGGCATTACGTAAGGTATCAAAGTGAATTCCAACCAAAACCAGTACTATTATTTATAATTCTTTAGTTAGGTCACACCTTGTTTATCTAATTGAGATATGGGGATCAGCAGCATCAATCTGAATACACTACAAAGAATAGAAAACAAAATAATTAAAGTACTCTTCCACTACCATTACCTAACTCCAGCTAAACTACTATACGAAAAAATTAAATTACTGAATCGCAGACCACTTTACATCTATTATACTGGCATTCTAGTTAAAAAGATTACTAAACTTCAATTCAAACTGACATACAATACACAAAAAAAAAACAATCACACATAATTTAAGAAATATAAATAAAATACAACTAACGAAAGTACGAACTACCTACAAAAAAAACTATATGAGAGAGCACAGCTCTGCATAATAGACAATTTTTGGCCTAATGAACTACACTGGCCAAACAGGTTGGTATAGGGTTTGTGCAGAATTTAATAGGGCGCGCCTCTGGCGCCCCCAGAGGATATTGGCGGTCAGAGCCATACGCGGATACCGCACGGTGTCCACCGAGGCGGCTTGCGCCTTGGCCGGAACACCCCCGTGGGATTTGGAGGCGGAAGTGCTCGCCGAAGTTTATCGGCGAGTGGCTGAATTCCGGGCGGAGAGCGGATTTCGCCCTCCGCCCGAAGACGTGCGCGAGTGGCGCGAAGCCGCTCGCCGAGCCACCATGGTCAGATGGTCGTTCCGGCTGGAGACTCCACGCGCTGGCTTCGCCGCCGTGGAGGCTCTCCAGCCGGTCATCGCCGAGTGGGCAGGGCGGCAGCACGGGACCCTTTCCTTCCGGCTGACGCAGGTGCTTTCCGGGCACGGTTGCTTCGGAAAGTACCTGTACTCGGTCGCTAGGAGGGAATCGAGTCCCGCCTGCCACCACTGCGACTGCAGTGAGGATTCGGCCCAGCACACGCTGGCGGTTTGCCCCGCATGGGCGACGCAGCGCCGGGCCCTCACTGCAGTCATCGGAGCAGATCTCTCGCTACCGGCCGTAATTCGCTCCATGGCCGGTAGCGACAGTTGTTTTACCGCGGTCGCAACCTTCTGCGAGGAGGTAATCTCGCAGAAGGAGGCGGCGGAGAAGGCCCGGGAGGACGACCTCCACTCGGACCTGATCCGCCGCCGGCGAACCGGGCGGCGGAGGCGCGCTTACCTGCGCCTCATGCCGCCCTGAGTGTGGCCGCGGGTGGACGGGATGGGTTCTCCCCTCCACCCGCATTAGTTTGGCCAGCCGCGAGGGGGCGGCGTCCGCGTGTGCCGGACGTCGCCTAAAGAGAGGGTCCACTGAGACGGAGCCCGCATCAGGAGCGGGCCGGCGCTGGGAGGGGTCCAGAAGGAGATAGCTACCTGGACCCCTCCTAAACTGGAAGCGCAAAGAGGGCACACCGTGTGGTTTTAGTCGGTTCGAGTCCGACACACCGCCCCGCCGAACGAGAGCCCCGGCGGGGTGACGGTCCGAGGGGATTTCCACACGTAAAAAAAAAAAAAAAAAAAAAAAAAGGGTTTGTGCAGAATTTGACTTCTCTTTGCAGTGCTGTTCTGCTTTGCCTTCGTAGTTTGCTTCCTTAGTCAACTCTTACGACATCCAGGGGATGCGTATTCTTAATCCATCACCACACGTAGTGCTCAATTATTGTTTACTATAGTGATTTCGATCGATTCGGTATGCAGTGGTTACGTATAAAACTGCTGTTCTGAGGTCTGGGGTTCGAATCCCGATCGGAACAAATATTTGTTTCACAGTTTTGGTGATTTCTATATGTATTTACAAAAAAGAGGTAAATAAATATTCTATCAGTCAATCTAGATTTCATAGTATAAAACTGCCCATGAATGCATCTATTTGTCCATCCAAAGGTTGCCTGTAAGAAATTGCTTTTTAGCGATAAAGACGCCATTTGAACATGGTCATTTGGTTTCATGTACTGAACTGATGTACAGTAAAGTCTATTCTGTTCTAATCCATTCCATGGTTTTCAGACAGACCCAAAAATGTTCAAATGGATTATCATTGGCCTCCTCGTGGTGTTGACAGCGGCAGATGATGATACTGAATACATTCACTTACCAGGTAAAACTTGTGAAGATGCTCCTCCGTGCCCTGACGGCACGCCTTGCGTAATGGCCCCTCCAATGTGCAACAAGGGAACTTGTGGGACTGACCCTGTACCTTCGTGCCGAGCGTAAACTTGATGACCAAATAAATGTAATTAATAAAATTCAGAAATGTTTGATCATCTCCCTTTCTACCACTTTCTAATGCACTCCTGGTACAGACAGTGAATAGAGATATTGACTTCACTACCAGGTTACCAACATTTAATGCTATTGCGAGGTTAACATGGTAACGGACCATATGAGAAATTTCTGCAGTGTTGTGATGTAACGAGAGACAGGATTTTTTATTTTATAATTTAAAAGGAATTCTCTGCTTTATTTAATCTAAATTGTGGTAAGTGGTGTACGTTTTCTGTTAAAAGCCTGATTTAAATAAATAGGTGTAAGGTATTTGCTATTAAAATCTATGAAGTCATAACATTAGCTTTTTTCTCTAAACTCATGCCGTCAGCTTTGACAAGAAAAAATGAGTACCATAAAGTTCTAATTTACAACTATTCTAATTTAATGACTTTACCCTATTTATTAAATATATATGTTATGCTTCTGTTACCACAGTTTTTAGCGCACACACATTCACGTCTTGGATTAAATAAAATTAGTTGCTAATGATAGAAAAAACTACAGAAACAGTTTATCTCCTTACTTTTATCAATGATTAAAACTGTTTCAGACATAATTTAGCTATATTAAATAGTTTTTCTAACGTCTAGCCGTGTTATTTATTTAGAATCTACCATTAGAATTTACTGGCATCCGTATTAAAAGCTATTTAAACAAACATATAATGAATGTTTTGATATCTATAATATCCATGGCTATTTAGAATTTGGATTGAATAGAAAACAAATAACTAGGCTGACTTCACTGTACCTAATCAAAATAATATTGTTTTAAATGCAAACAGTTGTACTCATAAGTTATTATAAACGGGATATTTACTATGTTATCTATACAGTTGTAATCTTTATATATATAATTCTTATGTATGTGTGTACGTGTTCTAGGCAATAAGGATCATTTTCTGTTGTAGGGGATTTTTATGATTGACGAGACGTGTGACTAGTGTGGTAAATCTTTTAATACTAATTGTGGATACAAATATATTTCTTTACAAAGTGGACTGTATAAGTAGGTATGTTAACGCGCTGCTTGCGACTGGCACAGACATTCCGCCCCCCGAAGAACATAGTTCTTTAACACGGCCTTAAAACAAGCGTAATGCTATGCGACCCACAAACAGCAACTCATCAATCGCAACCTTACACAAATAAGTTACGGTTATGTTAATCTTAATACAATCTTGTAAAACGATCAATTCAATACATTTCACTTAAATACTATGTTATCTAACAATAACAATATTTATCACTCAGAGTAGTAAGTACACAGTTAAAAAATGTAAAAAAAAAAGAAAATATTACGAAGTGGTCGAGCGCGCGATCACGTCGTAATATGTCACAGAGGTTACAGGTTCAATTCCTGTACCTCACAAAATCGTCTGTTAAATTACAACATTTACAGTAATCTAAGGTAAGTAAGATTGGATAAGTTTTAAGTGAACAAAGTATAAAGTATAACTTGGTAATAAAAATAAAAATAAAAAATACAATATTAATACACATATCCAGTTCATTTTATTTTGTAATGACACATATCTTGCTCACTGGTCTCTTAAAGACGCCAGTTTTACATTTTACGGATACAACCCGTGTTATTTTATCTGGACCCACATGTTTTTCTATTATTCTACCTAGTATCCATTTACTCGGTGGGATATTGTCTTCTTTTAATATTACTATGTCATCGATTTCTGGTTCAGCTTTCTTAGTATTCCATTTATAACGCTGATTTAGATTAACGAGATATTCTTTATACCACCTGTTCCAGAAATCGGTGACCATTTTCTGTGTCAATTGCCATCTCTCATGGTAAGTAACATTTTGTTGCGTATTATTTTCGTCAGCTAAGTTCAGTAAAGGCTCACCAATTAAAAAGTGGCCTGGTGTCAGGGGCAGGGGGTCATTAGGGTCATCATTTACCAAAGTTATGGGACGCGAATTTAGACACGCTTCAACTTGAGCTAATACTGTGGTTATTTCTTCATATGTAAGTGTGGCATCCCCGATAACTCTTTTTAAATGTGTTTTTGTACTGCGTACACCCGCCTCCCACAGACCTCCGAAGTTAGGTGCATGTGGAGGTATATAATGCCATGTGGTGCGTTCTAATGTCAATAACTGTGATATTTCACTGGGGATTGATGACTTAGCGCTGTTAAACATGTCTCCTAGTAGCTTGTTCGCACCAACAAAAGTCGTACCATTGTCACTATAAAGGTCATAACAATGACCTCGTCTCGAAGTAAACCTTCTGAAAGCGGCGATGAAACCTTTAGCTGTCATATCTGTTACCGCTTCTAGGTGCACGGCTCGAGTCACCATGCAAACAAACAAACAGATATATCCTTTATAGGATTTCGCTCCCTTGCCTGGAGAAAATCTAATATTAATGGGTCCTGCGTAGTCTACGCCAGCGGACCTGAATGGTTTATTAGGTTTTAGTCGTACCATTGGTAGTTGACCCATTAATTGTGTTGTATTTTTTGTGGAATATCTAATGCAAGTTATACACTCACGATAGCATTTTTTGGCTCCGTCTTTAGCACGTAATATCCAGTATTTCGACCGTAAATAATTCAGCATTAGCTGTGGTCCCCCATGCATTGTCTTGTGGTGCGCATCTACAATTATCAGTCTGCTAAGATGATTCTTAGCAGGTAGAATTATAGGATGCCGTGTCTCATACGCTATTTGGGACATTTGTATACGTCCACCGACTCTTAATATACCATTCTCGTCAAGAATGGGACAAAGAGCGCGAAGTTTGCTTCTTTTAGACACAGATCTGTTATATTTTACGTGCTTTATTTCTTCGTTAAACTCCCTATGCTGAACCTGTTTTAAACACATTTCTAAAGTTTCAGATATTTCCTTACTAGTAACGTATTTGGGGTAGACTTGACGTTTTTCCTTAGCCAGTTTGAAATTTAACCATCTCCGACAGTATGATACGATTCTCAACATTTTAGATAAGCTGGAAAACTTTACCCAAATATAATTGTCTTCGATGTTTAATGACGCAGTTAAGGCTACGACTCTTTCCTCTTCTTGTGTGTCCTCAATGTCCTCAGTACTTATGTGTAAGTGTAGTGTAGACAGCCAAGTCGGTCCGTTCCACCACAGTGAGTGATTTACCAATTCTGATGCTTGCAGCCCTCTTGAGGCGCAATCAGCTGGGTTCACATCTGTAGCAACATGTCCCCATTGATCATAATCTATAATATTTAATATATCAGACACTCTGTTGCTTACAAATGTGTTCCACCTACTAGATCCGCCTTTCAGCCACGCTAGTACTATGGTCGAGTCTGTCCAAGCATATAAGCTATTTTTAGGTATGTTCATGACTTGTGATATCTCGGATATTAATTTTGCCGCCAAAACCGCGCCACAAAGCTCCAATCTGGGTATTGAAAGTTGCCTCTCCATAGGAGCGACTTTAGTTTTGGCGGATATGAGATTAACGTAAACTCTGTCTTCTTGGATAACGCGCATGTATACAACTGCCCCATAGGCCACTCTTGAAGCGTCGGCAAATGCATGTAACTCAATCTTAGCTGTATTAGAGCTGTGCAACCACCTCGGTATACGAACCTCCTTAATGTGAATCAAATTTTCTCTGTAATGTAACCATTCTTCTAGCAACTCACCGTTTACAGAATCGTCCCATTCCAGACCCGTCTTCCATAGCTTCTGTATGATCATTTTTGCTATAACCACAACAGGAGCTATCCATCCTAATGGGTCATATAGTTTTGCTACTTCAGAAAGAATGTAACGTTTAGTAATCAATTGTTTAGGTTCTTGTGGCTTTATAGTATATTCAAAACTATCTGTAATACGATTCCAAATCACACCTAGTACTTTTACTATACTGTTAAGCTTGAGCGGCAGCTCATGATCGATCCGTTTATTTTCACCGATGTACTTCAATACATTTTCATTATTACTACTCCATTTTTGTAGCTCGAATCCTCCTAAGTTCATTAATTTATTCATTTCCTTGTATATAGACACCACTTCCTCCTCTGTCTCTCCTCCAGTCATAAGGTCATCTATATAAAAATCACTCTTTGTTATATTCGCTGCAACTATAAACTTAGATTTTTCATCATCAGCTAACCTCTGAAGCGATTTCACAGCAAGGTATGGTGCACAGGATGTTCCAAATGTTAACCTCATAAGCTTAAAGTGTTTAACTGGCTCATTCTGTTGAAATCTCCATAGTATCCTCTGATAGTTTGAATCTTCTTCTGCTACGTGAACCATTCTATACATTTTAATTATATCTGCACTTATACAGATTTTGTGAGTTCTCCATCTCATCAGTATGTGACGTAAGTCTTGCTGCAATTTAGGGCCAACAAGAAGCTCATCGTTTAAAGAAACGTTGTTAACGCCTTTACACGAAGCGTCAAAGACAACTCTCAATTTTGTAGTATCTTTGTCTTCTTTACTTACGGCATGGTGAGGTAGGTAGACAGCTCTCGGGTTGTCAATATCATAAGACTCGACTTGAACCATATGTTTTAATCTTATGTACTCGTTTATGACTCTGTGGTATTCTTCGCGAAGGTTCCGATTCGTTGATAGCCTTTTCTCTAAAAACTCAAATCTCTTGGCTGCTATCTCCCTCAATTTACCGTTCTGACATTCTGGATTTTCATGTTTGAATGGTAACCTTACTACAAAGCTACCGTCCTCGTTTCTTACTGTCGTCTCATCATACAACTCTTCACATCTCTTTTCTTCTTCTGATAGTCTCTTTTGTATTTTGTTTGGCTCATTTTCTACTTCCCAAAACAGCTTTAGCATCTCATCTTCGTTGTGTTGAACATGTAGGCTCGTGATATTTGCCACCTTTGAGGTAGGTTCTTGTGACATCCTTCCTGATATCACCCAACCTAGAATCGTATTTTGGACTAGTAAGTTACTGCTAGGATGCTT